GGTTGTCCCCATCTGAGTGCCCCCTTACCTTGGTTGTCCCCATCTGAGTGCCCCCTTACCTTGGTTGTCCCCATCTGAGTGCCCCCTTACCTTGGTTGTCCCCATCTGAGTGCCCCCTTACCTTGGTTGTCCCCATCTGAGTGCCCCCTTACCTTGGTTGTCCCCATCTGAGTGCCCCCTTACCTTGGTTGTCCCCATCTGAGTGCCCCCTTACCTTGGTTGTCCCCATCTGAGTGCCCCCTTACCTTGGTTGTCCCCATCTGAGTGCCCCCTTACATCGGTTGTCCGTATCAGAGTTCCCCCTTACATCCGTTGTCCGCATCAGAGTGCCCCCTTATATCGGTTGTCCGTATCAGAGTTCCCCCTTACATCCGTTGTCCGCATCAGAGTGTCCCCTTACATCCGTTGTCCCCATCAGAGTTCCCCCATACATTTGTTAAGCTAAACAATCCAAAACCTCTGGTTTTAACCTTAGCGGTTAGACAGGTTTTTTTTTGGCATGCTGGCTGGTGAGTGTGCTGGGAAACTTTTTGCTGTTGTATTGTATAAAGCCCTTCCATGTGCACCTTGCTGGAAAGCTGGTTATGAGTTGATGAGTGCTTTTGCCATTTGTTTTGCTTGACTGATTTGGTGTAGTGACACACTGGGGGTCTCAGCTGCCGTTGTGATGTGTGGGGTCCCTTGTGCGTCCCTGTTCCTTTAGGAGGTTGGGCTGCCTCCTGGTGAACCTGCACCCAATTTTATCTTTTGCTACATGTGCTCCAAGGTGGAGACTCTCATAGGTTAGAGTTAGGACCGCACTATATAGAGGAGCCTTGACGAGGCTGTGCGGCTTTCACATATTCTGCAGAAGACATGTATCTAAACCTCTGTTTTTAACCTTAGCTGCATGCTGGCTGGTGGGTGTGCTGGGAAACTTTTTACATTAGTTATCCCCATCAGAGTGCCCCCTTACATTTGTTGTCCCAATCAGAGTGCCCCCTTACATTTGTTGTCCCAATCAGAGTGCCCCCTTACATTTGTTGTCCCAATCAGAGTGCCCCCTTACATTTGTTGTCCCAATCAGAGTGCCCCCTTACATTTGTTGTCCCAATCAGAGTGCCCCCTTACATTTGTTGTCCCAATCAGAGTGCCCCCTTACATTGGTTGTCCCCATCAGAGTGCACCCTTACATTGGTTGTCACAATCAGAGTGCCCCTTACATTTGTTGTCCCAATCAGAGTGTCCCCTTACATTGGTTGTCCCCATCGGGGTGCCCCATTACATTGGTTGTCCCCATCAGAGTGCCCCCTTACATTGGTTGTCTCCATCAGAGTACCCCCTTACATTGGTTGTCCCTATCTAAGTGCCCCCTTACATTGAATGTCCCCATCAGAGTGCCCCCTTACATTGGTTGTCTCCATCAGAGTACCCCCTTACATTGGTTGTCCCTATCTAAGTGCCCCCTTACATTGAATGTCCCCATCAGAGTGCCCCCTTACATTGGTTGTCTCCATCAGAGTACCCCCTTACATTGGTTGTCCCTATCTAAGTGCCCCCTTACATTGAATGTCCCCATCAGAGTGCCCCCTTACATTGGTTGTCTCCATCAGAGTACCCCCTTACATTGGTTGTCCCTATCTAAGTGCCCCCTTACATTGAATGTCCCCATCAGAGTGCCCCCTTACATTGGTTGTCTCCATCAGAGTACCCCCTTACATTGGTTGTCCCTATCTAAGTGCCCCCTTACATTGAATGTCCCCATCAGAGTGCCCCCTTACATTGGTTGTCTCCATCAGAGTACCCCCTTACATTGGTTGTCCCTATCTAAGTGCCCCCTTACATTGAATGTCCCCATCAGAGTGCCCCCTTACATTGGTTGTCTCCATCAGAGTACCCCCTTACATTGGTTGTCCCTATCTAAGTGCCCCCTTACATTGAATGTCCCCATCAGAGTGCCCCCTTACATTGGTTGTCTCCATCAGAGTACCCCCTTACATTGGTTGTCCCTATCTAAGTGCCCCCTTACATTGAATGTCCCCATCAGAGTGCCCCCTTACATTGGTTGTCTCCATCAGAGTACCCCCTTACATTGGTTGTCCCTATCTAAGTGCCCCCTTACATTGAATGTCCCCATCAGAGTGCCCCCTTACATTGGTTGTCTCCATCAGAGTACCCCCTTACATTGGTTGTCCCTATCTAAGTGCCCCCTTACATTGAATGTCCCCATCAGAGTGCCCCCTTACATTGGTTGTCTCCATCAGAGTACCCCCTTACATTGGTTGTCCCTATCTAAGTGCCCCCTTACATTGAATGTCCCCATCAGAGTGCCCCCTTACATTGGTTGTCTCCATCAGAGTACCCCCTTACATTGGTTGTCCCTATCTAAGTGCCCCCTTACATTGAATGTCCCCATCAGAGTGCCCCCTTACATTGGTTGTCTCCATCAGAGTACCCCCTTACATTGGTTGTCCCTATCTAAGTGCCCCCTTACATTGAATGTCCCCATCAGAGTGCCCCCTTACATTGGTTGTCTCCATCAGAGTACCCCCTTACATTGGTTGTCCCTATCTAAGTGCCCCCTTACATTGAATGTCCCCATCAGAGTGCCCCCTTACATTGGTTGTCTCCATCAGAGTACCCCCTTACATTGGTTGTCCCTATCTAAGTGCCCCCTTACATTGAATGTCCCCATCAGAGTGCCCCCTTACATTGGTTGTCTCCATCAGAGTACCCCCTTACATTGGTTGTCCCTATCTAAGTGCCCCCTTACATTGAATGTCCCCATCAGAGTGCCCCCTTACATTGGTTGTCCCCATCAGAGTGCCCCATTACATTGGCTGTCCCCATCTGAGTGCCCCCTTACATTGGTTGTCTCCATCAGAGTACCCCCTTACATTGGTTGTCCCTATCTGAGTGCCCCCTTACATTGGTTGTCCCTATCTAAGTGCCCCCTTACATTGAATGTCCCCATCAGAGTGCCCCCTTACATTGGTTGTCCCCATTAGAGTGCCCCTTACATCGGTTGTCCCCATCAGAGTGCCCCTTTATATTAACCCCACATACCTTTTTATTAGTAGGTGAGGGGTGTGAGCCGGCAGACAGAGCAAGCTGCAGGAGAGGAGGGAAGAACATACTCTCCCATCCTCCTGTAATGCTGGGGGTGGAGAACACATTGGGCATCACAGGTTGCTAGGACCGCCGGTGGTCCTAGCAACCAGTGATTGCTGAGGTGGACACCTGAGATCATTGGTTTCTAGGATGCCAGCGGTCCTAGCAACCAAAGACTTATGTGGAGGGAGCTGGGCCATGGCTGGCAGTGGATACATCCGCTGTCATCCAGCTATTACCCAGTGCACATCACATGATTTTGGAAACATGCTTGGACAAACGTTCAGAGAAATCCTTTGCTGTGCGTTGTATGTTTGTATGATCTGGATTCATTATTGAAAAGAAGTTTGGAGGTTTAATACTACTTGAAGTAACTAAAACACACTCATCTATAATTGGATAAATTTGTGTCAGGTAATTAGGTCAGTGAAATGAATCTGAACTAATTACGTTTCTGTATACTCTTTTAACGCGTGTGAGAAGCATGAAAAAGCAAAGCGTTTAGCACGGTATCCATGCCTACGCTAGGTGCCCATTCTAAATGGCACCACAACACACCTCCCTGCGGGTAGGCATGCATTGCAAAGCACAGTACTACAATTGCATGCCTTGTATTGCAGTGCAGTAAAAGAAGGAGTGCATGCATTCCTTTTTATCACTGCATGGCAATGCAACACACAATCTTGTGGACCTGCTAGGAGGTGCCTTTTAGAATGAATGGCAATGTACACCCAGCATGTGGTGCATTGCTCTGGGTAGATAGCATAGCAGATACAACGCCTTTAGCACAATGCTATGGTGTGACTAGGCCCTTATTGTAGTTGGGTTTACATGCATTTAGACACAGAGTATCTAATCCACCCCTGGACGCACAGAATTCTAATCTTTCTAAACGCAGGTAAATGCGCAGTGTAAGGGCTCATTTGCATGGACACATCTACAAGCACATGGCCAGTCTCCTGTTTTTATGGCACCCGGGAGCCCCCAGCTGCTGTGTTTTTGTGACTATAGGTTTGTATGGACGCAATACGCTTTACGGGGTAGCTGCGTTTACATATGCATGTCTATGGGCGTGAGTTCACAAGTTTCCAGTTCAGGAACGTATGCTCCACTGCAACATTTTTTTAAGATTCCCATTCAGCTTCTAAAGTCACTCGCTCCAGCAATGCAACATCTGTGCAACCCCCTCGCCTGAGCCGCCATCTTCTGCCCAGGTGCCGGATCTTTGCCTGTCTTGGTTGGCCAATGGGGAACGACAAAACTCCCATGCATGCGCACAGGAGTTGTTAATTCCGGCACCGCAGGGAATGTGCACATGTGCAGGGAATGTGCACATGTGCAGCCTATGTACTTTCTGAGGAAGGCTGTGAACAGCCAGGTAAGTTTGTTCTATCGCAGAAGAGACGCAGCAAAGAGCCCGGCCGCTCGCAAACTTTTTGTTTCAGCACTTTAGTTCTGCTTCAGAATCATGACATGCGTTTGTATGCATTCAGAACATTTGTGTAAGTGTGCGTAGGTCATCGTCAGTGTGAATGTGGCCTTGGCTGGGAACCTTCTATCTATTGCCAATATATTGATTTTTGCAAGCACAGCTCACTGATGACATGTTCTCTTGATGTGCTGCCTGCCACACTGATTGGCCCCCTAAATTATGAGGAACAATTTAGGGTCCCAGGTGAGTCCATTGGAGGGGCCCCTGTGATGACAGACGATGACAGCTGTCTCACCCCCCCTCCCAGCCTGCCATCATCCCTCATCCTCAGCGGACTACCTTTCCTCCTGGTGCACTGTTACATGATGACGTCTCTGACGTGCTTCGCAACACACCCAACGGCCGGCGCCGGGCGCATCACCGAGCCCCCGTGCTGTATCAATGGGCGGAGGGATCTCTTTTTCCCAGAATGTGGATCCGGAGGAGGTGAAGGATGCAGATGGGAATGGTGTGTGGCGGTGGCCGCTGCGGGGCTCGGTGATGTTCGTGCGGTGAGTATGTATCTGTATTCTGTGAATGTAACTATATGGGACCAGTGACCAGCAGTGATGCCTGCCACTGGCTGCTTCCCAATGTACTTCTGTTTGTTGCCACACCTACCAAACATTCTTTTCCCCACTTTCCTGAAGTTAGGTTGTCATTTTAGCCTTCTGATATTAGGGCGCATAAAAAAAAAAAAAATGCCCCTTTCAGATCCATACATTTTGCAACCAAGCTAAACGCACATAACGGCGTTCAGCTTTGTAACCCATAGCAGCGTTCAATTACATAAAAAATAAAAGCCTGAATCCTGAGTACAGTGGCCTATTATTTGCATAAATTATGCGTATATGCATGTAAACACATACATAAACGTATCCAATCTAGGTTCCTTTTTTTCTTATGATGCTAAATGCAGTACGCATGCTAACATGCATCAACGCGAGTACATTACCTGCACATTTTTCTGCTGACTCCTGGCAGCGAGATCCAGCCTAAATGTGAGTATTTTTAATACGTGCGTATGCATCGTTAACACATGCTCAATGCAAGAGCTCATAGAAATCAATTTATTTTCTGTATTCCATATTCGCGCCTCAATGCTGCGTTGAGGTTCCTTGCAGTGTGCTGTGAAAATAAAAAAATGCTGCCTTTGTATGCAGCATGAGTCTCCGCAATGCTTGTCAGGGCATTGGTGCATGGATCTAAATGAAGTGTCGTTTTGTGACACTTCGATAAAGTTAGGTAAGAAGTGCTTTGCGTTGTAACAACTGCCCCGACATAACGTACACCAGCCGCGTGTGGGCTGCTATGAATGAGCGCTTACTGTTGATGTGGCTTTCTTCATATATGTTTGCATCCCTCTGTTTTAGGAGCAGAATACTTGTCGTTGGATTGGAGGCTGCTGTGCTTGTTCCTGTCACCCCATCCCCTTTCTCCAAAATACCTACTGAAAAACCTTGGTTCTGTAGTGCTCAGTAGCGCTTTTGCGTTGCTGAGCTCCAAACGTAATGAGGGCATTTAGGAACATTGGGGGGAATTTATTAAAACTGGAGCAGACAAAATGTGGAGCAGATTTGCACCGCAACCAATCATCCTCTCTCTCTCATTTTCAAATGTTACCTGAGCAAAGAGAGAAGCTGATTGGTTTCCATGGGCAACTGCTCCAGTTTCTGTTTGCTCCAGTTTTGATAAATTCCCCCGATTGACTGAAACCCTGCAGCCTCTTTCATCCATTTTCGGTTCTCATACATGCTGCCCATCACTTGATTCTTGATGGTGACAACAAAGTTGTAGTCTTCATCGTGTTGGACATCGCAGGGGCACAATTGAGAGATAGGTGTCATCCCCATAACAGTAAGCACCTGTACTCAAGTACTGTTATCAGCACTGCCCAGTTCACCTCTGTGAACTACAGGTAAACCTCCCACCTATCTTATGGATATGAGAGAAGGGGGAAGTGTTCTGTGAGTTTAACACACTTCCTGTCCAGTGACAACACTGCTCTTTCATAGATACCATACAGTGAGTGAGTGAGTGCTGTCACTCTGGAGCAGGAAGTGTGTTAATTGGCAGAATCACTAGGTAATAATGAAAGAAAAAAATACACCTAATGCAAGCTGCAATATATTAAACGTTCAAACTTGGGTTTGCATGCACTACTTCCGTGGTGAGCATCCCTTTCCAATAATAAGGTGCCAAAAATGAGGCACAACTTGACATGCCCATGGATAAACCGTGCATTATCGCTGTTCCATTCACAGCACACACTAGCGGCTATGGTAGAGCACTGGCTGCTGGAGTGAATGAGTCAAAAAGGACGAGGATGAATTCACTGTAGAATGCTCCTCCCCTTCATCAGAGGTCATGTGACCCAATGCCTATGCTTTTTTGGTCACCTGACCAGCAATGAAGGAAACCTGGAGCTAAATACTCTGCAGAAAAGGTGAACATTTCAACTCTTCAGTTACTTCACCATCTCAACGGCACTATTGGGATGCCTTTGTGTTGGTATTAAAGCTTAGGTCTGCTGTCTCTGTTTTTGTAGTACTATTATACAGGATTTATATAGTGCCAACAGTTTGCGAAGCGCTTTACAATATAAGGAGGACATTACAATCACAATACAATTCAAGACAAGATGGTAAGGAGGGCCCTGCCCCTGAGGGCTTACAATCTAAAAGAGGAGAGGGAAATGATACATGAGGAGGTAGCTGTGTGGGGATGAATTGTTTGAGAACGTGATGGTTGAGTGGTTAGGTTGGGGTGGGATAGGCTTCTCTGAAGAGATGAGTCTTAAGGGATCGCCTTATGGCAGTCAGAGTGGGAGATAGACGGACAAGTTGGGGTAGAGAGTTCCAGAGGATGGGAGAGACTCTAGTGAAGTCCTGGAGGCGAGCATGGGAGAAGTTGATGAGGAAACTGGGAAGCAGGAGATCTTTGGAAGAGCGGAGGGGAAGGTTAGGGTGATACTTTGAGATATAGCCGGGGGCAGAGTTGTGGATGGCTTTGTAAGTCATTGTTAATATTTAGAAGTTTATCCTTGGGGCTATTGGAATCCAGTGCAGGGATTGGCAGAGGGGGGTGGGGGATGGAAGCCAGTGGAGGGATTGGCAGAGAGGGGGCGGGGGATGGAAGCCAGTAGAGGGATTGGCAGAGGGGAGTTGCAGACACTGAGCGGTTGGTTAGGTGAAGGAGTCTAGCAGGGGGGAGGAGCCTGTGTAGGGGTATTAGATCTTTGGGGTTTTTCCAATTGACTTGCTCCCAGTGATGAAGTCTGGCGACAGATGTCTTTGTGGACTGTGTACCAGGACCAGGTGTTTTGTCATTTGTTGGCCCGTATTTACAACCTCTGAACGTAATCAGCTGAAAGATGTATTGAAAAATGTCCTCTAGTGAATGAGGCAAAAATAAAATAATGACTATAATTTATTCTCTCCCCACAGAAGATCCTCTCGGGAACACAAAACAATTAGAACACAAGTAGACATGGGAAGTGTAAACACTGTGCCTGGATATGAGCTGGCCTTGTTTCACTGTAAAATATTATAGTCCAAAACAAAACATAATCCTGATTCAGATCTACCCAAATATTTACAGCAGAGATATTAAATTTGAGGAATCAAGTGTAATCTGTAAATCCCATTGACACAGCAGTACATAAAACTGCTCCCTGATCTTATCTGTTTGGTAGTAACTAGTAGAAGGAAGTAGTCGCTGTGGCAGGCAGAATAAAGGCCATTGGTTGGGGCAGAAGTATGGGTGCTGACCTTTGAAGGTACAGCCTAAAATACCGTCATCCTTACCCTGGTCTCATTGCTTAGTGTGTTAAAGGGCAATTCCACTTTCCCAGGTGAATTTGGAAAAATTGAATTGCCCCCTTTAATCTGTGTGTAACCCTTACCTTAGGGTGAACTGTCCTTCCCCTCTGTGTAGGAGCTCTGCGTTCTGTATTTTGGATTTTGCTCACAAATGGCATTGGTCACCCGGCCACGCTGACCAATGATAGTTCTGCATTTGCAAGCAAAATACAGAGCAGGGCTGCGCTACATGGCAGTACGGGGTTCAGATAGTCACCAGCGGGCGGAGCATTCACCCAAAGGTAAGTATAGCAGGGAGGGTTAGCCCCACTTTATGGGTTAGGAATATTTCTGCCTGGAGTTCTTCTTTAAGGGCTCGGTCACACCAGTTGCAGTGACTGGCGTTTTTCCACACTTCATCAACACCTGTCACAGTACGAGCACACAGAAAACAATTCGTTTCTATGTGGCTTGTTCATACCACGCTTGTGTGATGTGGGAAAATGCAGATGTGCCGCAGTCACCACACCACAGAACACTGCACTGCTGTGTGGAGGCCTGCATGGAGTGTACACTTTGTATGCTGCTGATAAAGTTTTTTTTGTTAAGTAAACAATGCCTTGCCTTGTAACAAAGCAAGACACTGCTGGCACCCAGCGTGCACTCCTTTTGCATGTGACTGGTGTGAACCGAGCCTAAATTAATAAAATGTGCTAGTAACTGCTAACAGTATACATTAAGCACTGCCGTCGCCAAAAAATGTTGTTGTTTCTGCCAGAAATCCAGTTCTCTTGTAACCTCTTGTGCTTTTGTTCCCAGTTCTCTTTGTGAACACCTGCCCCCAATGTTGTGGAGAGGTGGAGGTGTTCTGTACTGCTGAGACACTTCCTGTCCCTGAGTGACAACAGGGCTTCTCCATAGATGCAGTATGGTGAGTGAACATTGTCACCGTAGGACAGGAAGTGTGTTGCTGGCATGATCACCAGGTAAAAATAAAGGAGAATAAGTCTGAAAAAAAGAAAACTAATGCAGCTTCCAAGGACTGTCAAGCAGCTATATATTACATTGTGTTCTTGGGTTTAGCAATGTTTTCATTTTTACAGTTCCAATGATAGCTCTGAGCTCTTTCTCCGAGTGACAAAAAAAAGTGTCAGAAGCAGCTTACAATTCAATTTAATTTAGATATCAAAGCCAAATAAAGCCGCGCTTCAAGTTTAATATCCGCCACCATAATCAGGAATGTGGATGGTAATTGTTATTAACTCTTCCGTGGCCAGAGTTTTTTAAGATTCGCAGACCAAGTTAAGTAGCATTGGTATTCCTCAGTTAACTTGACAATAACTCTGTGGCCCCTTTCACACGGGCGGTCCGATAGGGTGCGCCTGTCAATTTTTCAGGCTGACCCGATCGAATAGTCAATATTAGTCTATGGGCAGCCGTGTCCATTTACACCAAGTTACCCCGGCCCCATCTAGGTTAGGAAAAACAATTGGATCAGAGATCTGTTTTTCGTGGGACCTGATCGTGCCGGTCGGGGGTAACCTGATGTAAATGGACACATCTGATTCTCCATAGGCAGACATGGGGTCCTCTACTTTACTCTTCTACTTTACCATCCCTTTGTTTCATTGGTCCACTGGGAGCAAAGGAAATGTCCTATACTTCTGCGTATGGGGTTTGTGTGATTTACTTTTCTTCATTGCGACAGTGCA